TATGTTTTCCGCTATAGGCTCACACGTTTGATGTTGCAAGTTCACTTCGAGATCAGGTGTAAGAGTAAAATCAAATCTTTTGTGAGCTTTGGATACTCCTACACACAAAAAGCTTACTAGATGAAAAAAATCTCGAAACAAAATTGAACATTTTATCTTAACATTTGCTTGTCGCCATTGCAGTCTCCTCCACAAACGCATTCTCGACTACCATGCACACATGGTACAATTAAACCCAACAGATTCCTCAAAGAAGTAAATACGGACACGTTGTTAGTCATTTGTTTCACAGTCACATAAATTGATCAACATCAAAAACTTTCATCTCTCAATTCTCCTTCCTCGTGACAATAGGATCATTTACCTGCCCAATTCATAAGTCTTGTATCTGGGCAAAAGAAGTCTTTTACTTCCATAAAGTTAGTTCTAAAGTGCTTATTTCTATGAACATCTCTTCAATGTAGTGTTCAGCGCTGAAGCGTCCGTGATTCGAGACATATCTTCCTAAATAACGAATCTCTACGGGATTCTCTGAGACAACACATGTTCTAAGGAGAAGACTCAGCAATATTGCATGTAACTAAATTGCACTTCGCATTCACTACCTCACTACTAGTCCAATCACTCTCATACACACGAAATATCGAAAAAGAAGATAACTTAAAAATACGTTTTTATTTGCATATGTCGCAATGTCTTAGTTAAGGCGGTCCAATGTCTGCAGCCTTGGAAATAATTAAAATTACAACGCGATTGTAGGAATCAATTCACCACTCTCGCCATTTTCTATTGCAAACGACATTTTCCAAACACCGCGCAAACTTTCAAAATATGGCAGACGTTCCTCTGTTCAACGGACACATCTGTAAGGTACACAAAGTAGGGATCCCACCAACGATTAGTTCTTTTCTTGTACTATGCGGAAACGTAGGCACCGAGCTCGCGTTCGCGTTGAAGCTGCGCCCGCAGGAGGGCGCGTTTACTTGCTGCTGATATTGGTCGCCTCCACCGCCCGCACCGTCAGCCCCTGCGCCACCTTCTCGATGTTGCGCGTCATGTTCTCCATTTTGCGAATGGAGGAGACGGGCGGCATGTGCGGCGACAGGCCCGTCCCGGGGTTGGAGGGCGGCGCGGGCGACGGCGCCGGGCTGCCGCCCTGGGGCGACGTCTTGTTGTTGCCGGTGGCCGCGCCGCCGCCGCCCAGCGCGTTGCCGGCGGCGTTGTTCTTGCCTACGGAATTGGGAATGGCTCCGTTGTTCCCCGAGGCGTTGTTGAACGTGGA